TTCCTTCAGCCTGAGGCTTATTAATTTCACTTTTGGTGTGAAAGGACCTTTATAGTTGCCAAAAATATAACTGTTTTTTGTAACGCCAAATTACATTTTACGGGGTAACACAATATTGTAATGCATTACTTTTAAAATGGACAGAAGAAAGTTCTTCTTGCAGAAACTGCCACATGATATCCAAATTACAGCCATTCAGCCAGTTATGATTGATGGAAATGGTATCCTCCTATTATTAAAAGATGCATTATTTAAACTTGAGTTAGCAAGTTGGTCAAGGAAGATTTTTCTCTTTAGGGGCTGGAGAACCAAAAGAGTTTGATACTACAGTCTTTCATAAAAATGTCAAAGATAACTTCTAGTACAGAGGTGTCCAATCCTGCTCCAGTTATCAAGGTCTTCAGGATTACAAGACTGCACTCCAGAGATAGATTACTTACACATTGTAATCCGTTATTGATTCCACATTACATGACAAAAACTGTAGTTAGTATCGTAATTCATTACATTACACATTTCAGGTAATATAATCAGACTACTTTTGAACACATTGATTTAAATAGGATAATCTTGTACCATATAGATATAAAAATGCATAGAAAAAGAAAATATATTCCATTTGTTGTTATTGACAACATGAAGTGCATTAAACATTACCAAGGAACTGCAGGGTGTTTGTGAGTTTAATGAAAAGCAAATAATTAAATAAATCATAAAAATGTAAAATTAGACTAAATTATTTTAAAACAACATCAATCAAAATACTAGAAAAATTTAATCTTTTATTTGTTTACCTGCATGTTATGTGACCATTAACCAACGTCAGAGAACATGCAAATGTGATACTTCATTATTAAAAATATTTATTTTAAAATCTCAGGGATACTGTAAGTTATTATATTCGGTGAAAGAGGTTCAGCTGACGAAAAAGTTTGGGAATCCCTGCATTACATGTAAATAAGAAATAACATGAATTTGTGCATTTCAATGTGTTTGAGAGACAAAAGCCTTCTAAAGACAAAGTAATGCATGATATTAAATAACCCTCTGAGTGATCATTCAAATAAAAATCAGTTCAACAGTTGTTGATGTAATGTTGAAATGCTAAGAAAACACTTCTTAAAACTGAAATGATTTTTTGTAAATCCAGTGGTCAAATGCTGTGTGGCCTCTCAAATGTCTGTGTAATTAGCCTATATCCACCTGACTAGTGACTGGTCTTTGTGGGAATGTCCACAAAACTGGAAGACGTTATGAATGTACATAAGTCGTAGGGTGTTTTAGAAAGAAAAATGTAAAAGATGAAAAAGAAGAATTAGGCACAAATCAATAAATTAGGAATAATTTATTGCTATTGAGTGAATATGTAATCATGAAATCAATAAAAATGTATTGTCCTATTATGCTTTTTCACTTTTTCAACTTTAGTTAGTCTGTAATGTTGCTGTTTGAGCATAAAAAAAGATCTGCGAAGTTACAAAGCTCAAAGTCCAATTCAAAAGGAGATATTTTATTTAACAGAAATCACTTTTCAAAAACTACAACGAACGACTCGTTTGGACTACAACGCATATTTTCCGGGATTTGTGATATGACAATTATCAACGAATGGGACGAGACCTGGTTGATTTGGAATCTGATTACGTAATCCAGATTACATGTAATCAGTTATTAGCAATTATATTGCTATTATATATCAGTTATTACCAGCTCTGCTGTGCTCCAATTTTATTTTTGGGTCAATCTATCTCAAGTGGTTACATTTTGGTTGCTTGACCATTTTTCGTTTTCCTCATTTTTTGAGTGATAACTTCTATGTATTAGTATAGCAAAACCATCCGTTTTTATTTTTAATTTTACTTTGTGTCATGGCCCACAACAAATTTT